ATTATTGTGAATGATAAGCCTTGTGAAAAACCTGTAAGCCTATTACTTTTCAACACATCAAGTTTTTTTTTATGCTGAAATAGTAAATCATGTAGTCTGTTGAACTTACACGATAAAGAAATTAACACGTAAGGATTGCATGTTTCGTCTTTGACGCACCTTTCATTAAAATTTACTAAATAATAAAAATCTAGATTCAGTCATACTTTTTACAAATTCGACAGCGTATATTGAATTTTTTTCAGTGTCTTACACAATATAAAGAATTACAATTACGACGTTCCGTATATTTAAAGTTTCTACTAGTATTATACACGATCGGAAAAACTATTTCTTTGTTCCTTTGAAATTTTATAAATATAGAATGATGGTCTCAGTTGAAAAAGTAAACAAAAAGGCATCATGAAATTGCTCCAGTTATTCGGTGTATTCTTATTATTATACCTAATATTCATTCACTTTATATCGACTGGAGAATATTTTTTTCCCGAGCGTATGATCTATTATACCGGAATATCACAACTCTTAAAATTTACTGACTTCCACGTGGCTTATCAACTTCCATATGGTCTCCTACTTCCATATGGTTTATCCATATGGATATTTGAAACAAAAGCCATATGGAAGAACCACATGGAAAATCCATATGGATTTTCCATGTGGTTTTTCCATATGGAAAATGTATATGGTTTTTTTCAATAGAGAAATCAATCACTAACTAAAATTCGTGTAAAAATTTTTATTGTATAATTCACTTTTTTGCATTCTCCATTATTTGGAGGTAGTGATTTTGGGCTATAAGCAAAAGTGACAACTCCATATTAGCGTGTATTATATCAGATAGACGTAAAAAAATTGAAAAAGATACGTCAAAAACTCTGCTATAGAGACATTTTGTAGCTAAAAGATTAAATTTTCTCCCACTGTGCGCCAGTAGAACTACAGATAGTAGTAAACTGTTTGTAGGTTTCCTGATGCAGTGGCAGGTAACTTGTAAAATGATAATTTCGCAAGAAAAATAAGGAGGTGGCGGGAATCAGGCAGACAGAAAATCTCTACGATGACTGTGACCGATCTTAGAAGCTACGTCGATTTTCTGAAAGAAAATAAACAGAACTTTGCCTATGAGGTAGCTTTCAACAAAGAAACAAGATCGCATGACATATCGTACTTACGAAGTAATTACAGTTGGAATTGTACAGCATTTGATTTTGTACGACGATGATTTTGTCAAAACTGTTCGTGACTCGCAGAGATGGTTTTTAGATGCAACCTTCAGCATTGTTCCAAGAATTCAGTCCATGTACCAGTTTTTGACAATAATGGTGGAAAAATACGGAAAGGTAAAAATGTGACCAATCATTTGTTTTCCAGTAAGAAAAGAAACTGTCCTTCCCCCCTACAAAATTTCCTTAGGAAGGCGGGAAAAATAGTTTTGTCGAAATGAAAAGTCGGCTTCATACATGTATTTAATGTCATTTGAAAAAAATCAATTGTTTTATTTAGTTTTGTTGCTTATATCTCAACTTCTGTCGATTTAAGAGAAAGTTGACAACCGTCAACCTATTTCCAATCAAATTTTCTAGACAAAAATGTGAAGCATGAACATTATTTTACGGAACAACTTCCGATAGACGTAAAGAAAACAATAGCGTTAATTTAAGGTGGCTCCAGCGTCTAGTACCGTATCAAAATGGGGAGACTTAAAATTAATCATTATATTCTTTAAAATATGGTATAAAATTATCGTAGAGACTGTTGTAAGCCATATTCTACATTTTATCTGTTACTTTAGTGAGTTAATATAAAAAAACAAAAAAGTTTTATGGTGCCCTAATGGATGAACTGTTACGGTACGCTCCTAAGTTCAAGAGTAGTTATACCTATATATATGTACTCTGCAGAATGCAGACAGCTGAGAGCTGACTTGCACTCGCAACTGTATACTTAGTCTCCGATTATTTAAAGATTTTGTTCGATAACAAGACACTTTTCTCATGTCATCGAAAACTGCGTAATAATATATACAAGATAGTAT